TATTTCCATAAATTTCTTTTCTTAAGTGATAAATACTGGTTCCTAACATAACTGTGTATGTGTTTTAACCAATTATAAATGTGTGTAGTATGTGTGTATATGCTCCATCATAGTTATTACTAACACTATGATTATTAAAGGCTTTATATTTTCTTTGCATACCATTTATGTTATTTAGATAACATAACTTTAAGATAGGTCCATCTAACAATGAGTAAACTACTACGTTTTGAAGATCTACTGACTTATTTTGTGGTACTTAAGATTGAACTCAGGGTCTTTGTCCTGAACTAGGTCACCTCCTCTTTTCTAAATACATTTTATTTTGAGACTTCTTGCTTAAGTCATTGAGTTTCCCTGGCTGGGCTTGAGTTTTTGATCATCCTGCCCCAGCTTCCCAGAATGCTGAGGTTATAGGTATGTACCACCATTCCTGATTTATATTGAAAACACAAAAAATTATAAATACTCTCTGTGAGGATAAGCCTGCAACTCAATACCAAATTAGCTTCACTTATTTACTTTTGCTTTTCTATTGTTGTGGGATGCTTTGATTCAATTATATTTTGTAATTATTTAAAAAGCCACATTATCCTAAAGACAAATTATTAAACAAGATACATTCAGAGAGAATGGGTTCCATCCATTTCATTCACATTTTCTACTTCTTTCCCATGCTGTGTAAAAATTTTAAATTAGTTTTTGAATTATCTTTTCTTTTTCTTCAATGTAAGAAATTAGTAGAGTTTTATTTTTTATTTTTTATTTTTTAATTCTGCCTCTTCTTAGAGAAAGTATAAGGTACCATGCAGTGTTCTGTGCCTTTTTTAAAAAATAATCTGATGCTATATCCCAGACGTGGTCTACAGAGAAGGTCGGTATTCCTTTCTATACTTACTACAGTGCTGGGCAAATGCCAGTTTATCATCAAGCTCCTGAAGATGGGCATTTGGGTTGATGTCAGTCTTTTTTTCTTTTTTTTTTTCATTTTTTTTTCAATTTTTTTTTCAAAGTTTTATTGATAAACAGATAGCAAT